GTCAGCACAGAACAGACCTTTTACAAGTCCCATTTCAATATGGATATTCAGATTAAAAACCCCACTTTACAGTATTGGATGTGAATGCAATTGTATATATGGACCTGTATCTATAGATCTACCTGTGGAGGGCACATGTGACCCCCCTGCTTGTAAAGTTGAAGAAACTCACCTTGTGACAAACTTCTGATTTAATTTCTTTGAGGGCACGTTCAGAGAACACACAGCCACAGTTTCTCAGGAAGCAAAACCTTCAAAGAAAAGACAAGACACAACATGATTTTAAGAAACCCTGTGCCCAAGAGAGACCTGTGCAGTGCTGGTTGAACACAGAAATAATACTGCAATGGGTTAGCAGGACACAACTAACTTTATTTACTAGTTCTTGCATCTGATATAACTATCAGCACCTTTAAAGAGGCAATTAATTTATTATTGGTTTGCAAAATGTAAGACTAGAACAAAAAATATTGTGTACATTAAACCACCACACTTATTTTGTTATTTCATCCTCACAATCTCCTGGCTAATCACTGTCTGGAGGAAGAAATACTTAGCAACTGTCAAGCTGTGAACCACCATCATCTCACTCATCAGGGTGAACATGCACAGACAAAGAAACTGCTCAAACCAGGATGTGAGGAAATGCTCTGCCCCAGCCCAATAAAACCCAGATTACTGCAGGATTAGGACACAGAAGCCATCTCCACTCTGGTCCTAACACAGGCAGAGGGAGAATGGAGCAGCTCTGCTGTGAGGAAAGGCTGAGAGAATTGGGATTGTTCAGCCTGGCTCTGGGGTGACCTAATTGTGGCCTTCAAGTGCCTGAAGAAACTACAGGAAAGATGGAGAGAGGCTATTTACAGGGGCCTGGAGTGACAGGACAAGGGGGAATGGCTTCCCACTGACAGAGGGCAGGGTTAGACGGGATATTGGGAAGAAATTGTTCCCTGTGAGGGTGGGGAGGCCCTGGCACAGGTTTCCCAGAGAAGCTGTGGCTGCCCCATCCCTGGAAGTGTCCAAGGCTGGGTTGGATGGGGCTTGGAGCAACCTGGGATGGTGGAAGGTGTCCCTGCCCATGGCAGGGGTTGGAATGAGATGATCTTTAAGGTTCCTTCCAACCCAAACCATTTTGGGATTCTAAGTGCTTGATGTGATACAAAGAGAGGTCTCATCAATCTCCTGTGGTTTGGCCTCCAAACATTGCCCTCTACTCCTTTATTATACATCTAAATTCAGTTAGAAAAGGGTTAGCTTTTATCTTTCTTCTTGAACATGCAATGAAAGGACACTCAGTGGTCTCTTAAACTCCCTTCTGAAAGAGAGACAAACATTCCCCACAAAGGCCTGGGCAGATACAAGATTTGCAGCATTATCCATTCAGATATCTGCTCTGTGTTCAGTTCAGCCCAGTGCTCACTTCTAAACCCAAAATGCAGACCCTGAAACACTGACCTGTGCCTCCCATTCATCTCCAGCCCCACGACAGGGCAGATAAATCGTGCAGACTGCAGGTCATCGTACTTGTCACCTTTTATACTCTCCTTATCCCCACTCCAGGCTGGATTATCCACAAGGTTCAGTTCTGTCACGTTCTGAAAAATAAAAATGCAGGCCTTGAGCTTTTAACCAATGATTTGGAGCCATGATAACATTCCTTAAGATATTTTTCTGTTGTGTTTTGGTACTTTTAACACTTTAATTCAGGGTGAGAACACAAGCAGATGGAGGTCTTACAGCATGACTGAATTTCCCTCATGATTTTAACTTTTAAAATCAGACAAAACCTGTTTACCTTGATGCTCTTGATGTGGGATGCAGATTCCATGGGGGTCTTATCAGGTGACTTGTCCAGCAAAAACTCAATGATGGCATCTTTGTTGTACAACCTGTAACATCGAAATTCCAGTGATCACGTTTGATTGCCATGGCATTTGTATTTATAAATTTATCTATAAATTATTTTTATAATATTTATATTATTTATAATGATGATCATATTTAATGATCATTATTTTTCCCCCCTGTGGAACCACCCCTACCTGCCCAGCTCACAGGCCACGATGGGCCGACGCAGCTTCTCCTGGCTCAGGGCACAGTAGAACCACCTGGCCACCAACTCAGCAACTTTGTCGACCTGAAGGAACAAAAAAAAAAAAAAAACAAACCCTCATTATTTTAAAACAGCTTTTATATTTGCAAATTGTTTAAGCATAAAATCAGGTAATACTCAAAGCATTAGTGAGATCCTCAGGTTTCTTACCAAACCTACCTTCTGCACTGTTAATTAATTCATAAAATAACTTTAGCAAGGCTGTTTAGCAACGTTCATGATCAGGTTTGAGGCTCTGCCTACTGACTCCATTTCTTTGTCATGGAACAAGAGACCTCTCTGCCTAAATCCAACTCAGTTTTTATATTTTTGTCACTTTCACCAGTCCCCTCTTGATGCTTTTTTTACTCTTCACATGTTCTCCACCACTCTCTTCTCTCCGGTTCTACATCTCAGCCCTGCTTGGGTCAACTACCGCTTCCACTCCCTGGAAAGAATGAGGTGAGGAAGAAATCCTTCCCTGTGAGGGTGGGGAGGCCCTGGCACAGGTGCCCAGAGAAGCTGTGGCTGCCCCATCCCTTCAGGAGACCCTTGAACCCCTTGTATTCTGCAGATGGCAAATCCCAGAATTACTGAGGTTGGAAAAGCCCTCCCAGCCCATGGAGTCCCAGCTGTGCCTGATGCCCACCTTGGGACCCAGCCCAGAGCACTGAGTGCCACGTCCAGTCATTCCTTGGACCCTCCAGGGATGGGGACTCCAGCCCCTCCCTGGGCAGCCTCTGCCAAGGCCTGAACACCCTCTCTGTGCAGAAATCCCTCCTGATGTCCAACCTGAACCTCTCCTGGCATAGCCTGAGGCCATTCCCTCTCCTCCTATCCCTTGTTCTCTGGGAGCAGAGCCCGACCCCCACCAGCTCCCTGCTCCTGTCAGGGAGTTGAGGAGAGTGAGAAGGTCCCTCCTGAGCCTCCTTTTCTCCAGGCTAAGCCCCCCCCCCAGCTCCCTCAGCTGCTCCTGGTGCTCCAGACCCTTCCCCAGTTCTGTTCCCTTCCCTGGACACGCTCCAGCCCCTAAATGTCCTTCTTATTGTGAGGGGCTCAGACCTGGACACAGTACTGGAGATGTGACCCCACCAGTGCCCAGCACAGAGGGACAATCCCTGCCCTGTGGCCACGCCGTTGATACAGCCCAGGTACTGTTGGCCTTCTTGCCCACCTGGGCTCACGTTCGGTTGTTGTCACCAGCACCCCCAGGGCCTTCTCCAGCTTTCCAGACGCTCCTCCCCCATCCCGGAGCGCTGCCGGAGATCGTTGTCACCCCAGAGCAGGGCCCAGCACTCGAACCTCGTGTCTTAACCCCCCCAGGAGACAAAGGGCCTCCCCTGCAGACACATACACAGACACACAGTCACAGACAGAGACAGATACCCGCGAGCCGGCCCACGGCGCTCCCCTCCCCCTGCCAGCGCCGGGAGCGCCATGCCCGGCTCTCCCTCCCTCTCCCTCCCCCTGCCTCCCCCTCGGAGCCCCCTCGGACCTTCTCGACTTTTCGGGGCCCCTTGACCAGCTCGTGCCGCTTGGGGATGGTGCCGCCATCGCACCCCATCGCACTTCCGGGTTCTCCTCCCCCGCGCACTTCCGGCTCGCACAGATGACGTTGCCGCTATTGCTTAGCAACCAGCCGGCTGGGGGCGTGGCCATGGGGGCACCCGGGTGGGCGAGTCCATCGCAGCAGGGCTGGGAGGGGTGCGGGACGTACCAACGGAGCGCGCGGGGAGGGGGGTCACAGCGCCCCCGCGCGGCCGCGGGAGGAGCTGCGGGCGCCGCTCCCTCCCCTTCCCCATCCCGGTCCTTCCCCATCCCGCCCCTTCCCCACCCCGGCCCCGCGGGTTTATCTCTTGTTTTTGTGAGAGAAACCCCCACCCCGGCCACCCATTTTGGGGGATTTAGGGCCAAACGAGGCTCTCCCGCGCCGGGCCGGGCTGGCTGCAGGATGAGGGGCCGCCGTCCCGCCCTCAGCCCCGGGGCGATGTCAGGGCACGGACACGGGTGGTGTGAGGGGCGAGTTTAATCCAACACGCACAAAGCCAGCGGGAGAGGGAAACACTGCGTTTAACTTTGCAAACAGGAATATTTACACGTGTCGGCGTTAAATACCGGTGTAAAACGCGGCGGGTGCCGAGGGAAGCTCGAGGATGCTGAGGCGGGAGCTGGTTCCCAACAGACGCTGTGCGGGTCAGCTCTGCCCCCAAAATTCATTGTCCCACCAGTAAAAGACACCGATAAAACATCGCCAAGAAAGGCCAAGAAAGGCCAGACATTGAAATTACAGGTACAAACATTAAAATAAATTAATCAGGGAAGCTACAAGTCACACGGGTGTACCCACGCTCTGCCTGCGCAATCGCGGCGTCTTTGTCGTTGGATTTCACACCCAGAAAATTTGGGGATAAAGTTAAAAAGCTGCACGGACCAAGGCAGCTGAACCCCTGGGCAGCTGTGCCAGCGCCGGGTGTATCTTGCTGGTATTCCAGTAAGGAATAACGTCACCTTTGCAGTCTGTGGGAAGAGCTTTGGAACCCTCTGCACGTTTAGTGACTAAAATAAATTCTGTCTCAGTTGGAGAAATGCTCTGAACAGCTTCAGGCTGCGACAGAGGACGACTGAGGTGCTCCCTGTACATTTATCACTCCTCCAAGTCAGTTTTCCTCTGTGCTCAGGTGCCAGCCTGGAGCATTCCCCATTAATATCTAGGCTATGTTTAGTACCAGATTTTGTACCATAATAGGTTTGTTGCATTTGTATGTTAAACCCAAAAATTAGCTTTGCAGCTGCTTGGGAAAAAATACTGTAACTACAAGTTCTGAGTAAAGTCCTCAGGAAACAATTGATCATAAGCTACAGAACATTGTGCAGCTAAATCTGGAGATAGACTTTGCATGCCTGAATAGAAAAAAAATACAAAAGGAAAAGACAGTTATCTGACCTATAGAGAGAATAAAAAATAAGAAATAAGTCAGATAATAAAACCATTTTGCTCTAATACACAGCAAACATTCCTGCCCAGCCACTCCGACGATGATATTTCCAGGCAGGATCTGAACAGTGGAGAAGAAAGAATAGATTTAATTCTACAAATCTTCTCCTACATCTGCTGTTGTCTGGATTTTCACCTGCTAAAATTGCATCAGCACCCCGGGAACTCCCGGCAGGAACTTTGAGGTGACTGAAAATTGGTGTCACTGAGCTGGTTTTGCTCCCCTTTAGCTGCCAAAGGGGCAACAGCAGTGGAGAATGTGTGAAAACAGTGACATTCCGTGTCTCATTCCATCATTGCTCTGAACTGCTGCGTGTACTTGGACAGCTCCTCGGTCCGATCCCGAAGTTCCCTCGTGGCATCCGCATTGGGATATTTTATGGCAGCATTTTTGGTGGCCAGAGCCAGGTTCTTCAAGAGGCTGCAGAACCGGCTGCTGCTGTGGAGGACGTCGCTCCGGGCATCCCTTTCCTGAGTCTCCTGGCACAGAGAATCCACCAGCTTTTGTCCCACCATGATGATCAGTTTGCTGTGGGATATGAACACTTCGGGGGGCTGGCTGTTGTTCAGGCTGTTGGTGAACACCCCGATGGCCTTGTGCAGGGCAGCGAAACACAGCCTGCAGTGCTCGGGGAGAGGGATTTTCTTGGCATAGTCCTGCTTGCTTTGAATTCCAGCCTTTTTTGCAGTTGGCAAAGCCTGGAGAAAGGTTTAAAAAAACATTCATCTCGGTGTCACACACTGATTGTTTCTTTAGTTGCTCCAGCCTAAATTCTTAGTTCATACTCTCCAAATTGCCCCAGCCCAGGAGCTTTTACAATAATTTCTCTTCCCATAAAGTATTGGAAATTCTCCCAATTGCCTTTTTGCCCCTAAATACGATTTTAATAATGGATAGCACACAAAGTGCTGCAGCCAAACACCAACCCTTTACACGTTCTGGATTTGAAGCTTTCAGATAATACAAAACATTAATCTTTACTGGGCTTAATCGGGGTTATGAATGATTAAAATGGACAAAACAAGAGTCAATTTTGTACCAGTGCATGACAAGATATTTTGAAATACTAGTCCTCACAGCCTTATCCCAAATGATGCACAAAGACAAGAAAATAAATAATATGACGTTGAACTGGAGGGCTTCATTATGTTTGAGGAAAATAAATGTTTTTCACAATTTTCAGCAGTAATTCTAAGATTGAGTTCTGGGAAATGAACAATGAAAAGCAAATAGATTATGGATAGAGATGTGTGTCTGAATGCTTTGAATTTTGGCAAGCACAGAAATCAGGGACTAGAAGTCCTCATAAATAATAGTTTTCAAAATCAGAAATACCTTCAGTTTTGAATCTGTGCTCTTCTTTGCTACTTCTTTACCTGAAATGATTTTCTGTGCCTGTTATAAATTAAAATGAAAGCAAAGTTGAAATGACTTACAAGAAGATTTAAATATAAATATGTTTTTCTCTTATTTCACGAGGAAACAACTACTTGCTCTGCAGCCTTCATGTTATGGACAACAATGGTACATTTATTAGAAAAAACTGTAGGTTTTTTCCTACTAAAAATATAGTGTCTCCTCCTGCAAGATCTAAAACTGAAAGCAACATGAACAAAATAACCTTTCCTAAATCCTAAGGACACGCCAACATTTCTTTGTGAAACCAAGAGAGATGTTCTTGGTAGATATTTCAGTAGTTCTAAGGAGAATGGTTCCAACAAACATCCAGAATGATTCTAACAAATAAATTTGATAATTCACAGTAAGAGTTTGATTTGTTACAGCAAAATTTTCTATGAAAACATGCACCTCAAGTTAGAAAGTAACATTTCTTGTCCAGTCATGTCAGAGCCAAACACAATGAACTGGCAAGAAGAGAACTAAAAGGCAAAAGAGAAGAAAGGATTTGCAAACCCCCAGCTAAAACCTGTCTCCCAAAGGAATTGAAACAGATTATAAAGATGTTTTGTTTGGTGCTGGCTGGATAAATTCTCAAACTCCAGTTCTCTTTATGGATTAAAATGATTCTCATTTCACATGTGCCACCCAGCACTGGAAAAAAATCAGTCTGGAAAATGGGAAGTAGTGCAAACTGAATCTGGCATTGATGCAAAGGTAAAATAGTGGCAATAGCTTAATATCTGCAAACAATGAAGAACATAGAAAGTAAAGCCCAGTTTTACTGACCTGTAACTGCACATAATCACAATCCTCAGTGGCATTTTCCTCCTTTTTCTCCAAAGGCACCCGACTCTGGCTGGGTTTGTCAGGAGCGTTTCTCTGGAGCGACTCTATTTCTATTCTTCTTGGCACTGGGATTTGTTTTGCCATTTTGCATTCTGGGCTCCCTTTTGGCTGCTTTATTTCTTGTTCCTTGTCATTCTTTCTGAAGAGCAGCTTCCCATTGGCGATGATGATGGACACAAACCTCTTGATGTCGTCGGGAATCGTGCGGGCCACCATGACGAAGCGGTCGAGGTCATCTGGGTTGTTCTGGGGGCTCCTGAGGACCAAGGCCTCGAGTGACCAGTTGCAATTGTTTAGAGCTTCCCTTGTCTCTGTTAAAATTTGGAAGGAGTTCACAAGGATCTCTAACTGCTTTTTAATCCTGGTCTGAAGGTTGCTATCAGTGAGGTGAGAGGCGTTTCCCTTTATGGCTTGGGCAAAGGCCAGGAATTCTCCCAGGGACACCTTGATGTGATCCACGGCTCTGTGGATTTCCTCAATGCTCTTCTCCAGGTGTTCCTGCAATCGCCACTTACTGCTCACAAAGATCATTAAACTCGCAACTGAGCTGGACACGCTGTGCTGCAGCCTGGTCAGGGTCTCTATGGCTACTTCAAGGCCCATTTTGATTTCTTTGCCAGGCTCTTCCGATGATGAGGACGTAGAAAACAACTCAGCAGATGAGCTGGAGGATGTGGAGAGTGTGCTGCTCCTGCTGTCCACACTAGAAACAGATGAGATGTCTCGTCCTAATTTGGCACCTCTGGGGAGCTTTGGAGAAGCACCATGTGCTTGTTCTCCAGAGCTGTCACTGTTGTTTTCCATCTCTTTCTTGGACTGCCCAGGGGTGGGCAAACCTTTTGGAATATCATAAACATTCCCTTCAGAGATCTGACTCTCAGCCTTTGGAGCCAGGAGACTCGGGGGTACATCACAGCTACTGCTCTGCGGCAAAAGGAGCACATCCCGTGAGGATGGAACGTCATAAAGAGGGATATCTGGAAGTGTTAATTTCTGTTGTGTCGGTGGGATATTGTATAATTGTGGATTTACAACCTTGGCTTCAGCATTTGTTGTTGGCACCTTGTACCTGGCTGGTGGGATATCATACAGCACCTGGTTCTCCAAGGAGTGGCCAGAAGGGTGCTGTTTTAATCCTGATTTTTCAGGTGATACTGGAATATCATAAATCCATTCTGACTTCCGAGGATTTGGCAAAGTATTGTACTGGCCCCAGCACTTTTTTTGAGATTTGTTTTCTGAAGCATCAGTTTCTCTTTTGGGAGGGACATCATACAACTGCAACAGAGCACAGAGGGCTTATAAACCACGAGCACAGAGGGTTTATAAACCACCCTTGTTTATAAAACAAGAAGTAAGAAACAAAACTGAATTCTCAGAGCACATAAATGTGTGCAACTCCACTGATGTCAGTGGAACTACACCACGAAAGGACTGGCCTGTGTTTTTTATATTCTAAAATGCACAAGCTACACATGTAGAAGGTAAAATATTTTGAGCACAGGTAATTAGATCATACTGCAGTGTCCCCAGCCAGGGACATCTGTAGACACTTGATTTTTTTCCCATTCATGTGCATACCCTGTCAAAAAATAAATAACCAGCAGACATCACTGACTCTTCTCAAATACCTTCAATTAATTTAAATTTTTGCTTGATACAGGTTTGCTAAGATGGGAACAGAGTTTATCCAGTGCCTTAAAAATATGTGTGTCTACAGCTGAAGTCCAATTTGGAAAAGGCAAATGCAGGACTACTTCTTGTGTAATAAAATCCAGACTAACACTAACATTTAAGGAAAGATCCTGCCTGCATGAAGCACATCCACGGGGGGAATGCAAGGAACTACAGGAATGTGCAGCAATGAGAAATAACTGAAAGTTGCTATATAATACAGATTTTAGGAAAAAACTAACCAGGTCAGGCTTCCCCATTTGTGAAAAATGTGCATGAGAAGGGGAGGCAAGGAATGACAAGGGTGTTTCAGGCCAACTCTAGAATTTTCCAAATTGCCCATGAACAAGGCATTCTAAGAAAATTTGATTTTGGAAGCAATGATAAACCATGATCTCTGAAAGGAAATCTGGTCCCAGGCTGGTGCAGCTGGTTGGTACAATTCCTAACAGCCATGGAAATGCTGGGAATGCCAGTTTAGATGAGCAGTTGCTCATGTGCCAATTCCCCAGTTCTGGGTGGCACCACTCCGGCTGTCACTGCTGAACAGGCTCTGTGCAAGACTGGCTTCTGCAGCCCTGAACCTACAGCACTGCTCTTTAAACCCACAAAACCAGGGAGCCTCAGATTCCCTGTGCTGGAATGGTCCTGCTCCTCAGCCCTAGGCACTAAGGAGCCTGTCAAAATCCTCTTAGATCCTAAAGCCATTCAGGAAACCTGAAATACTTGGCACTCAACTAATAAAAAGTTTCCATTGAGACATTTTCTTAGTTGTGAAATTTCAGATCAGCCTTTTCTTCAAGGATGGTGCTTGGCAAACACGGGGGGAGAGGTGGGAAACCTGCCCCTCCGCCCAAGGTGGGTGTCATGGCACTGACGGATTGTTCTCTTGGGTCTGACAAATCTTACTTACATTGCCTGCTGGTGAGTCTTTCTGGATCCCAGCTCCTGCCTTTTCTGGGCTGGATGGGATGTTGTAAAGCTGCTCCTGCTCTGCCTGGAAGTTCTCGGTGGGTCTGACTGGCACGGAGCCCTTCCGTGCAGTGGGTGGAGTGGCACCGCTCTGGGAAAAGGGGAAAAAAAACCCTGATTGACTTTGATTCTTTTTAGATCTCATTGAATGCTCTGGTGGAATCAAAGGCTTGTGGGAGTAGCTCCTGGTTTGGACAGCGTGGGTCACCCTCAGCCTGCAGGGGAGCTGCTGGAGCCTTCCTGCAGTGCTGGGTGGGAGGACGAGCCCCACAATGGAGTGGGCTTAATCCTGCCCTGCCAGCTGCTGCCAAGATAAAGTGCGTGGGGAGGGTCCATGGACATGCTCCAGTCCCACCCACACCTTGCATGGGAGGTGACAGGGCTGGGGCCTGGTGCCTGTCCCATCCCGGTGACCTGAGGGATTGAGGGAATGTGACATTCACTCTCCTCAGGGAAGCACAGCAGGACCAAGAGCAGGATGATGCAACAGGACACTTCAGTGGTGGATGTGATCCTCCTGATCACAAATCCATGGGATGTTCTTCCCCAGGAGGTGGGTGGGGTGGGTGACATTGAGTTTTTTTTTGAACATGCACTTGTGACTCTTGTGTAAACACCCTGAAATCGTCCCGATCAAATGACACAGACACAAAGCATATTTCCTCATGGATTCCAAGCAGAGAGGGTGACCCTCTGATACTGAGAATTCTGTAGGACATCAGTAGTGTCAATCTCTCTGCCTTGGAATCCAGCAAGAAATGCCTTAATAATGGTAAAACTGAAAGTGTTCATTAGAAGCATACCAAATTTAGGACCAGTTTCTCTGAATTTCTAAGAAACTCAAGAGAACTGCTTTAGGTTTTGAGCTAAAAATAAATTATTTTCTTCCCAATTTTACAAAAAGCGAACAGGGAGGTACTGGAATTTGCCTCAACATCTATTCTGAGGTTCTACAGAGTCCCAGCTGCAGGGAGAGCACCACGGCAGGACCCACCTGTGTGAGCAGGGACTCCCGGCGCTGTGTGGAGGGAACGTCGTACACCTCACTCCTGATGTTTGGGGCTGAAGCCCGGCAGGCTCTCGGGAGAGTAAACAGGTGCTTGGAGGGGGAGAAAAACAATAATGAGAAAGCTGCAGTGAGCAGGAAGCTCAGGACATCTTTGGAAACTCATTTAACTGGATAGGCCACTGTTGCAGTGATCACTCTTAAGTGATTAAAAACCTCCAGCTCTTCACTGAAGCCGGGGCAGGAACTGAGCTTAGAAGCAGGTGGCATTCTTCCCTCATAATTCTCCTTTGCCAGCATTTCTGCTGTATTTCAGGTGAGATAAGAACTGGCACATACAAATCAAAGACAATCTGCCTGAGTAACCATGGGAGGGAAAAGATTTGGAGGAAATCCAGCTTCACTTATCACTTAAATCTTTAGACTAACCAAAAGCAGAACCACTGAAAAAGGAAGTGGGGAAATTTCTGCTTCTCCAGGCACACAGAGCCATGGGGTCAAGCCATATTTAGTGTAAGAGCAGCAAAAAGGTGCGGGCTGAGCATTATTCTGTAGTTATGAAAGACTGACTCATTTGGAAGGAGTAAACCTTGATGTCCTGTTCAGCTCCGTAAACAGGGAAGTCTGATATGAGAATTACATTATTGGTCTGTATCGAATTCTCCTGTTTGCTTAAAACATAATTTGAGAAGGCATGACCACATCTGTGGGATAATTAGTTAAGGTCCCAAAGTATGAATGTTGAGTAGGATTTTTTTTTTATAAAATCAGTTTTGTTCCTTCAGCCTGTCTTTAGCTTGGCTGTCCTCAGCTAGATTATAAATGGACCTTTCCAAACCCTTGACCCACAAAAACACCACTGCAGATGAGATGTTACAATAATTATTTAAAATTGGAGGTAGCGATCTCCATCATGTGAGTGTTGTAGCAAAGTAATTTAGGGGAAATATGGTAGAGGAACTAGACTTCACCCTTACAACTGCCTGTTTCAGCTTTGTGAAAGCTCTTAACTCTCATCTGAAGAAAGGGGAGGAGGAGTGAAGATAAATCCCCTTAGTGCTCTATGACACAGAATCACAGAATCACTGAGTGGTTTGGGTTGGAAGGGACCTTAAAGGCTGTCCAGTTACACCCCCTGCCATGGGCAGGGACACCTTCCACCATCCCAGGTTGCTCCAAGCCCCATCCAGCCTGGTCTTGGACACTTTCTGGGGTGGGGCAGCCACAGTTTCTCTGGGCAACCTGTGCCAGGACCTGGTGATCACCTTTACCTGCAAACAGAGGCGTAAAAGAGACTTCCCTGAGCAGAAAGGGTAAAAGACAAGAGGTATCAAGAAAGCCATCCTTAGCCCAGCTCTGTTTTCAGGTGGACAAATCTCACTATACAGCAAAAAGGAAACTCACTGGATATCACCTCTTACTACTTTTTAAAGTCCTTTCAGTGACAGTAAAACACGAAGGTGCCCTGTGTGTCAGGCAGCAGCAACGAGGCTTCTCTGTGGGCTCTGAGGGATTTTGTTTTGTTTTATTGCTTTCAATCACAGTGGCTTTACCCAGCTGCTCAGAGGACAGCTGACTATGCCAGGAGCTTTGCCAGTTGTCCCACAGGCTCTGTGCGGGGCGGTCCGAGTGCTGCAGTTCATCCTGGCCTTTCACAGGCTGCTCTCCCTGAGCCTTCCCTGCATCTGGGCATGGCTTGTGACCACCACAGTGCAGTTGGTGTGGGAACAGCTGGGACACTGTGCAAGAGACAGCTCAGCTCTGAACTTCTAGATCATAAATGCAGGCTGGGGCATTTCCTTTTCATTCTCGGTTAGAGTAGACAAAGCTTAGGTGTATAAACTCAGGAGATGAGAGGAAGAGCCAAGGAGCTCTTCTGTTGGGCCATTCATTCAGAAAATGAGTAGATGAACATTTTCCACCTGATTTGCTGGCACAACGTGGAAAATTTGTCCCAGTCTCGCATTCAGTTTGCAAATGGCTCCTTTAGGATCGGGAATGTGGAGAAATCAGATCCCAGTAAGTGCAAAAAGGTCCTTTGCAGCTCTTAGCTTGAGTTTGCAGTTGTGGGAACTGCACACAAGGTCTGCACTGCAGCTGCAGTGCTGAAAATTAGGTTTCAGTCATCAGGGTTGCACCGAGTTTGTCTGTTTTCCAGCACCCATCTGCCACACAGCAGGAAGCAGCATCTTGGTTTCCACGACTTGCCTCCCAGCACAGTGGGAGGGAAGGTGGCCCCATAAATCAAATGATCATTAAATCAGCCTAAAAGACTGTATATCTCAGGGCTGAATTTCCTTCCTTTTCCTTTTTCAATTAGCATTTCTAACGTGATTTTCCTACACAGAATAAAGAGCCACCCGGGGCTGAAGAGCTCATGGAACTGAACAAAAACTTGCACTTGAATTTTGTACTCACTTGCTCTATTTACCTTTCATTATAAAACAGTCCCCATTCATTTTTTCCTGAAGAAAGCACAAGTTTTTGATCTTAAGACACTTGATGCAACATGTACATGTTCCATGTGCAGATGGATGTAAAGACTCCACATGTGCCCAGGGGACTCTGGATGGCCACATGCTGTGAACAATCAGAGGAGATAGTTCTGTGTCTTGTTATTTTAACTTCGGGGAAGGTTTGTAAATAATTTCTAGATTCTCCCAAAGAAATGGCATATTCTTTGCTTCCTGCCCTATTTTACAGCTGCTTTAAACTGTCAAAAAAGTGAGGGACTACAGAATACAGAGACTCTCATATGTTGCCCAGAGCAGTGTTTCTCACATAATGCTATAAACTGTAGTAGAATTGATGGGAGTTTCCTAAGCACCATCATTCTTTTGCTGCAAATTCCACTGAAAAGCTCAGGCTGACAGCCTTTGTTATTTTCCCACTCCCAATGGTTGTTTCAATAATAACATTTGTTACTTTCAGGGATGTTTGCCTTACCTGGCGTGTGGAGCTTTTGGTCCTCTCACTGAGCAGCTGCGCAGCCAAGGCTGGCACTTGATATATGGCTTGGGCAGGCGTGGCAGAGAGCCTGCCTGGGGGTTTGACCCACCCCTCCATCTTCTCATAGGTGGACGACACCACGGTGGGTTTGGGGCCGGAGGGAACCTGGTAGATGTTTTGTTGGCCCGCTGGCAGCTCCGTGGGGTCGCTCCGCGTGGAAGGAAGCAGCAGGATGGTGGGAGAGAGCAGCTGGAGGCGGTTGGCGGGGGCCAGGCCCTGCCTGCCATGCAGGGAGCACTTCCACCAGCCCTCGCTGCCGAGGACGTGCTGGTCCAGCACGGTCAGGATGTCTCCCTTGCGGAAGGCCAGCTCGTCCGAGCACTCGGCCTTGTTGTCGTAGAGCGCCTTGGCCAGGGTGTTCTGGGGACACAGAGAACACCAGCATTGCACTGTTACACCCACAGCACTGGTCATTGGGTTCTGCTTTGGTGTTTATCCCCACCTCGATTTCGATTTAGTTCAAGCACAGCCGTTATCACATCAAACCACCTTTCTCAGAGCACTGGTCTCAGGAGTTAAACTTCTGCCTGTGCAAACTTTAGTGCAAACTTTAGCCTGTGCCTGCTACGTTCAGTGCATAAAGAAATAGATAATAATAACTAAACAACAAGGTCATGGGTTCAATCTCCTGCTCAGTCCTCTGTTCAATCCCCTGTATGGGCCATTCACTTAAGAGTTGGACTCAATGATCCTTGTGGGTCCTTTCCAACTCAGAATGTTCTGTGATTCTGTGATAATACTACAATATATTTCTTCAGCACCTTTTCCCCACAAAGCTCTTGAAGAGTGCTGCTAATGTTCATTATTTAGATTTATTATATTAGACATATATATATGAGACTTATAAGCTAAAACACAAGAAGTTCCACCTCAACATGAAGAAGAACTTCTTTCCGTGGAGGGTTTGGCAGAGCATTGGAACAGCTGCCTTGGGAGGGTGGAGAGTCTCCCTCTCTGGAGACATTCTAAACCCACCTGGATGTGTTCCTGTGTTGCCTGCTCCAGGTGACCCTGCCTGGGCAGGGGGGTTGGACTGGATCATCTCCAGAGGTCACTTCCAACCCTAATGATTCTGTGGTTCTATGATTACTGATGAACATTCCTATATGAAAAATAGATGTTTTTCCCGTTGTCATTCTGTGAATTCTTCATTCCAACCCCTGCCATGGGCAGTGACACCTGCCACTATCCCAGGTTGCTCCAAGCCCCGTGCAACCTGACCTTGAACACTTGCAGGGATGGGGCAGCCACAGCTTCTCTGGGCAACCTGTGCCAGGGCCCCACCAGCCTCACAGGGAAGAATTCCTTCCTGACATCTAATCAAAAACCGCCTCTCTGTCAGTTTGAAGATGGCACTTAAAAAAAATGAAAAGTACTAACATCAGGTGGCTTTGGTCACCTGAGGTGTTTGTGCAAAGGTTAGAGAAAGCTGTGGATGTGGTTGTTTTCAGTACAAGATAGAATTTGCTTTCAGCTCCAAAATGGGACTGTCTGCTTCCCAGGCAGAGGGACACGGGCTGTGTCTCAGCGTGAGTTTATCAGAAAGTGCAAGTAATGCCCAAAGAGATAGCACCCAAATAGGAAATGTGATGCCTTGTATTTTTGTCCAGAGCATTTGCTGTAAAGCAACAGCTGGCTCGAAGCTGCAGCAGAAGAACCCCAATTTGTCAGCTCAGCTGGTGAGAAGGGCCCGTTGTTGGCTGCACACGATCCGTGGTCGGGGTGGCCACGAACAATGGCCTGTTTGTGAGCTGTGGGCTTGTCCCTCAGCAGCTGCCAGGGGTGGACAACAGCCCCTTTTACCTTGTGTCCCAGCCTGGTTTTAGCCTTGAACATGGGAGTCCCCCTTCTGCTTGGACAATGCCAAATGTTGCAGTCAGGCCCCCAGGAATCCCATCACGAGCACAGCCTGGGCTTCACACGTCGTTGCAATTGTGGGAAAAAAAAAAAAAAGGAAAACATCCAATTTTTCCTATTATTCATCAACACTTTGAGATCCTTGTTGTTGGATGGTGTACAGACACAATGAAAAGCAGACTCTGTTCTTCATCCCTGAGGAGGATGGGCAGAGGAACTCTCTCCCCCTTTTCCAACGTGAAGAGCCTTATCCAGGCGCACGCAGGAAATGGGTGGCGGGGCAGGAAGCCTGAACTCGGGAGTGGAGCCTGGCACAAACAAGGCTGTCCTTCCTAATTGCACCAACACAAACAAGAGGAAGATTTGTTTCACTGTGTGGTTTTAAAAGGCATCTAAATGTTGACATTTCCCCAGCTAAGTCTTTCCCGTGGCAGTAGCACACTCAAAACATTGCTGGGCCTAATGCTTTAATCAAACAATGTATGAAACCACACATCTATTTTCAAATCTCATTTCTTCTAGAGCAACTATGCATCCAGGCCAGAACTACCAATTCACATCTAGTCTGCTAGTGGTAAGAAATAGGGTTACTTCTTAGTAACACAGGATGCCATCCCTGTTCCAGTTTGCCTTCCAAAGATACCTCATTTTTCAAGACAACTCGTCCCAGCCAATTGATTTTGTGATCACAACAACAGGAGGAGAAATTCTATAGACAACATTTCCAGGAGGTGGGTGCTTGATAGGACTGCACAGATTGCTAAGGTCCACCAAGTGTGTCTCCAGTGGTGTGGAGTGAGGTTATCTGTACTCCAGGCTCTGGATCATCTAATGTGGGGCTGTTTGCCAGAAATCCAGCCCTATCTGCACTCTCAGCTCTCTGGGACATGTGTGAGGGATCACTGTGGCAGCCCCTTCCTATCGTAAGCAAAAGCATCTCTGACCTGCCAGTGACTATAAACAAGAACTGAATTCCCAGGATCACAGAGACCTTTGGGGATGCTCAGCTCAGAGGAGGCCATGCTTTGGGGGCAGTGAGATCTGCATTTTTTCCCTGTTAGCCAGAGGAAACTGTCTGTCCAACGTGTCACCCACAATGTGCCAGCCAGGGCCAGCTGGGTGGGGCTCTTTGGTATTTTATGTGACCTTGTTAATGTGTCCTTACAATAACCAACATGTAATAAGCACTAAAGCAACACAGATGAGATCAAAGTGTTTTTCCTCCTTTGACATTTGTTGTTTCATCCTCTTCAGCAGTGCTGAAAACACTCTCCTAAGACAAAGAACATCCTAAAAGGCAGTTCTTGCCCCATGAGAGACCACCTTGGCTGTGACTTTTCTCTCACTGAGCAGATTTTAATGAGATGATGACAGAGCACAGACCTAGAAAACAGAGGTGTTCCCTGCAGCCCCTTCCCGAGGCTTTGTGCCCCCTCCAGAGCCCACAGCTGCCCAAGGGCAATGCAAATGTGTCACACACTGAAGGGATTTACTGTGCCAGGTCTCTGGAAACAGCTTCAGTTAAAAAGTTTATGTGTAGCTGGAAGTGTGTCTCCTTTATTGGAGTGCGGATCAGATGTTAATTCCTCCTACAGACTGGACTGTTCACACCTTTACTGTTTGCATACCCTTTTCCAGCCGTGCTCCCCTATAAAACCTAACAGCCCTTGAGAGTCATCGAAGTGAAAGCTGTTAACTCATGTTTATTAATGGAGAGAGGGGAAATTTATTTAAGAGGCAGTGAAGATGACCAGTGTACAATTCTATAATATAAAATTCTATACCATCCAAATGGGAATGCTCACAGACTGACTCTATGTACACAACAGGAAAAAACACCTCAGTATTACCAAGATCTCCTGATCCCTCTCCTATCCCAAGCCCAATCCTCAGCCTATAGTACTATGCAGCAGAAAAAAACATCCTTATAAAATATATGCAAATGTTGCTAGAAAAATCCAAGTGATACCCAGTGATGTGTACCAAGTGATAATTTCAGCATCCTGCCTGCAAGCCTGACACAATAATTTCTCTATTCCCTCTTCCCACTCAGTTTGTGTTTGGAAATGTCAATTTATCACCACAGATTATTTCACATGATACACAGGTAAGGCACTGCTTCACAGCATTTCAAATAAAACAATGTTTTTCATTTATTGTCTTAAATTTGCTTCTTGGAAAATCTATTGAAATAATGTAAATAAAGAGACAGCTTTAATCATGGGAGGTTTTGTGTGGATCAAGATAATTATTTCTCAGCTGCATTTTGCACACAAATACATGTGTAAGCACTTTTACTGCAGGAAAACGGGACTTAAAATATTTGAGGGGGAAGAGACACAGCTAAAGGCGTCGGGTTGTGTTTGCTAAACAGTTCTGTTCGTGCATCAGTGACACCTCTGACATGTTTACAGAGCGGCTTCCAGTTAATCTCTTCATCTCCCAACAAAGCTGGAGGAATAAACATTCTCCATCGTCCATTAGCTGGGAACCGGCTTCCCAGAGAATTCCCTTTTAAACAGCAAGCGTCTTCGAGTCCGTTCAGTTTTGTCCAGTCAATTGTAGAGAGTTCCCATCGTCAACCTCCCCAGGAAAAAGGAGAATTTACCTTAAGTGATCAGGTCTTTCTCTACATGCAGGTGCCTCCCTGTGGCCACGGGGCTGCACGTCCCTCTGATGTGCAGCGTTTCCTCTGACTTGCAGAAAGTCCTTCTGCTGCATTTTTTGGCTTGTTTATGTATTTTGGAAAATAAACGTTCAGGTCATACAGAAGTTTTGTGTGAGCTGCAATGAGGAACCGTTGTCAGGACTTGCTTTTATTGCCTTTCCAACAGTTAATTGATTTTGGGAGGGTGGAACCAGGTGCTAACCAGCAGGTTTTAAATTCTCAAATGGTCAAATCGGTTCTTGATAAAATAAAGAGCCACTTTGAAAATTCAAGCAGGACCACTTAGAAATCCTGCAGCTTCCCCCAAGTCAGCGCTCCACATACAGTGGCAAATACAAGCCGGTTCCGTTAATTTTCCCCAAACTCTTTTTTCTCCACAAATCTAGTTAATCACATTCTAGCTGTGTTAAAATCAACAGAGCTGGCAAGTGCACACAGGATTTCACACCATTCACAGCATTTTTGCATCTGTGGTCTTATGGCCAAGTTCAAGAGAAAATAAACTGCCATTTCCTGATGTTTCAAACCCTGACTCTGTGTGTAGTTCTGGGATTTGGGTCCTCCTACTATCCAAAGGTTTTTGCCCATATGCTCCCAATTACTTTGCTTTTTAAACCTTTTAGTATCTTAATTACATTTTACCACAACATTTACTTCCAGACATGGATTTACAGACACAGAAACTTCTGATGAGTACAAGTTTTCTCCTGTTCCTCAGAATTAGGTGCTTCACAGCCACTCCTTAGAGCAAGGTCCTTGCCCTCCTTCTTCCCCTTGCTCAGGGAACACACAAAAAATTCTTGGGGCACGTTGTCAGGAGCAAACTGCATGTTTT